GTGGAATGACGTCACTGTTATTGGAGAACGTAAAGTAGCCGATTTCGTCGATCGATGTCAACAAATTCTCTAAATATCGATATTTCGGCTGTTGCAACGATTTCGAGTATACGTACACGTTTTCGAAACGTACGCCGTGCGGACTTTCCAGCAAGCTTATCAAGACGTTGGTCTTACCGCAATTCGAGGGGCCGCAAATGATCGCGCGTATAGTAGTCGGTAACATCGTACCGTGCTTGCGTTTCTCCACGTTGCCTCCCATCGACCGTGATCTGTCGTCGCAATTCGTCACGCGAATCGCCAACGGTTGTCGCACGAATCTCATTTTTTTCCACACTGCCGACTTTCTGGCTGACTCGAACGCCTATTTATAGGCGAGCGGAACCGCGAATCGCTCAGTAGCAAAAATGTTCGTCCTACTGTCGAGACCTTCCGATATTCGCGACTTGAGCACCGAACAGCTGCAATTTGTGCCGAAAGCCGTTCTGTTGCAAACGTGCGGCGATCACGTCCACTACGTGTGGGACAAGCTTCCAGAACATATAAAGGCGGATTTAGAGGTTCAAGCATATCGTCGCTGTTACGAACATTACAATCAACCGTGGCAGCGAACGCACATCGGCGGTCCCGCGCCAATGATAAAGGATTGCGGCGAATGTCAACGAAAAAAAATGGTGGAGGCCTGTTAAATCGCGCGATAAACGCACTTCCGTTCGAATTACACATTCCCAGCTATCAATTTTGCGGTCCGGGAACTCGTTTACAAGAACGATTGGCGAGAGGCGATCAAGGTATTAATCCATTGGACGCGGCGTGTCGCGAGCACGACATAGCCTATTCGCGTAACCGCGATCTCACCGAGAGACACGCGGCGGACGAGATACTCGCTGCGGAAGCGCGAAAACGCATTACCGCGAGAGATTCGACTCTCGGGGAAAGAGCTGCCGTTACAGCCGTCTGGGCGACCATGAAGGCTAAGACGAAGCTCGGAATGGGCTTGAAAACGAAACAATCGAAAACGGTGAAGAAAAAAAAGCTAACGAAAAAACGGATACTTCCGACAGCGAAACGAGGCGGTGTATTGCCGATTCTACCGTTGTTGGGAGTTCTCGGTTCTCTGGCCGGCGGAGCGGCGGGAGTCGTAAAGGCCGTGAACGATAACAAAGCCGCGCGGCGTCAGCTGGAAGAGATGCAACGTCACAATCGCGCCGTGGAAGGTCACGGACTTTATCTCGCTCCGTACAAATATGGACGAGGACTGTATCTCGGCCCGCACAAACGCGGGCGAGGAATAGCGTCGAAAATAAAAAAAAAAAAAAAACGTCAAAAAGACGTTAAATATGCCCGCGGGTATTACGACTAACGTACAATTGAATCGACTGGCAAGGCGTATGCGCGTACCGTTCTTCAGAGGTGTCTTCATGCGTGATTCGTTACCGATCGGCGGTGTACGTCGAAACGAGAGCGGTATCGTGAATTTGGACGATGCAGCGGGTCCCGGTACTCATTGGGTAGCGTACGTGAAGAGGGAAGATCGAGTCGTATATTTCAACAGTTTCGGCAATCTTCGACCGCCGAAAGAATTGGTGCGATATTTCGGGCCGAGCGTGACGAAGATCGAGTACAATTGCACGTCTTATCAGCGATACGATCAGAACATCTGTGGACAATTGTGCCTGCGATTTCTCCGGACGATCGACGTCAATTTAAAGCCTGACGGTGCGCCGTGGTGACTCAGTATTCGTTAACGGTTTCCGCCGACATGTCTATAACGTTCACGTTGACTGGGAAGAGCAGCATCCTCGCGGAGCACTATTTTCCCGCCGTGGATCTGAGCGACGGTGACTACGAGCTCGGTCTAACGTGTTTTGAGACTTATCACACGATTCCGAACGTGAATTCTTCGAACAAAAAATTTTATTTCGACAAGGATGACACGGAAATTACGATTCCCGAGGGATCGTACGAGATACGAGCCATACATGAGTTTTTGAAACGTGAAATTTCACGAAAACGCCCGCGACGCGTAAATCGTTCCAACAATGATCGTACGTCGGTCGCGAATATCGCGCGAGAGGCGACTGTTCGCGCGAACAGCTACGAAGACGAGGCCACGGAATACCCGATAGTGCTCCGCGCAAATTACAATACGATGAAGAGCGAGATCAAGTGCGCTTTCAAAGTGAACTTTAACAAACCGAACAACGTTGGATCGCTGCTGGGATTCTCGTCGAAGCGTATATTGCAGCCGGGACAGTGGCACGAATCGGACGCGTCGATTAATATTATCAACGTAAACATTATCCGCGTGGAGTGTAACGTGACCGCGGGTGCGTACAGCAACGGCAAACGTGTTCACACGATACACGAATTTTCACCGAGCGTACCACCGGGATATAAGATATCGGAAACGCCGGCGCAGATCATTTACCTGCCGATCATCGCGCGAAGCGTTACGGATCTAACGATACGCGTCACGGATCAAGACGGACGATTGCTCGATTTTCGAGGAGAAGAGATCACCGTCAGATTGCACGTACGACGGCTACAGCGATAACGCGCGACGTGTGACATGCTCGTGTTGAACGACTCGGAGCACGCGACAGATAAGAATATCTTTACGACTGCGACGATCGACGATATCATCAAATCGACATTCGGTAGCGTTAAAACAGAGACGAAAACAGAGACGAGAAAGAAGCTCAACGCATCGAACGTTAAATTTTTACAATCTCTGGGATTCGCGGTACGAAACATCTGAACGATGACTGAAATTCTTAACATCGGAGGCGAGCCGGTCTTTGACGATCGCATCGTCAAGATCGAGACTCACACGTACAACCCGTACGCCAACACAACGTTTGAGTATAGCGACGAGATACGAATACCCATACAACAGCAGGGTCTGTATACGTTGCCGTGCGAAAGTTTTCTCTACGTCCAAGGAACATTGGCGGTGACCGGAGCAGCCGGCCAAGCCGATAACGTGGTATTGGGGAATAATTGCGTCGCGTTCATGTTCGATGAAATTCGATACGAGCTCGACGGTGTGGAGATTGATCACTGCAGAAATGTAGGAATAACCAGCACGCTCAAGAACTACGTAACGGTATCGTCCGACAGAAGCGTGATCCTGCGAAACGCGGGCTGGGAACCACATAATAACCCCAACGGATACTTCAATTTCTGCGTACCGCTCAACCTGTTACTGGGATTTTGCGAGGATTACAAACGCGTGGTGATCAACGCTCGTCACGAATTAATCTTGATACGATCGCGCACCGACAACAATTGTCTGGTGGGAAGTCTCGCGTTGGAGCCTACTGTCAAACTACTCAAGATACAGTGGCGAATGCCT